AAATTTTAAAAAAAAAAAAAAAAAAAAAAAAAAAAAAAAAAAAAAAAAAGGAAAAAACCAAGAAGAAATAAAAGCCCAACACCATGCACTGCTAATGATTCTCAATTTGGTCCCCCCCAACCCTTGGGACTTCCTCGGTGGGTGTTCTATATGTGATGATTTACACCAGGCTGTGCCTCCCAGGCTACTCACTGGGTACTTCATGGTTTGCCCGGGTACTTGGCAGTGGGTGCTGAGTGTTCACACATCTTTGTCTGTCAGGAATAAAAAGGGGGCAAAAAAAAAAAAAAAAAAAAAAAAGGAAATAAAAGAAAATCCCGGCCCAAACAGCTCTCATTTATTTCATGCTCTGGGACGTGGCTTGCCTCCGATGACAGTGTAATTTAAAGAAATATATGGAGGGTTGAAAAATCATTTGCTCAAATTTGTCCAGATGTTTCTTAGACGTGATTGGAATTTGATTGCCCTTTTCCGCAGGGTCAAAAGATATTAATGTCCCAGAACTTTAATTGCTCACAGACCCTGCTTTGCTCTTTGAAGATGTAAAATGTTGGACTCATTACTGTTTGTTCTCCAAATTCAAAGTTTCCTCTCTTGCACTTTCTTAATGGATAATACACATAGAAGTAGACCTTTATCTTTCCTCACCCTCTGAAACCTTTAACCCACTGGGAATTTCAGAGAATTTCAGAGCATTTCTTTTATTTTTGGTTCATTTTATGTTCAGTCCCTGGGTAGGCACCTGTCTTAAAAAACCTGATTCCTTTGGGTATCCTTAAAGAAGCTATTCCTGTGGGAACCCCACCAACCTCCAGTGTTTCTGCCTTGCCCAGGCACCTGTTGACTTGAAGGTCTTTTGGACCAGAGTAATTAAAAATAAAATGTTTGCATGTGAATTCATTAGAAAAATCAAATCAGATTTTTCAAAGGTACAGACAAGCAGCCAAGAGCCAGATGCCAACTCTGATGTGGTAATTGGGGTGTCATGCCCCCAGAATAAAATGGGAGGTACTTGCTTGGCTCCTCATGCCATGAATAAGCCAGCATGGAGTCCAAAAATCCTGATTTTTCTCAGTAAGATGGCCTAGACTGAGCAGTCTCAGAGGCTCTGTTTTAGCCCTTCCCTGCACCAGGTCCCTGTGCCACCCAATAGCTCTCAGTGCATGGCTGTGCTTTCCTTCAGGAAGAAGGAGCTGGGAGCTGCCTTGGGCTAGGGTCAGGCCTCCAGGAGGATGGGTGCTTGGCAGATCCAGGGCACATTTCCCTTTCAGCCTGTTTGTTTCTGAAGCCACCAGGCAGGGCTGGGTTCCCACAGTGCTTCAGAACCACCCCTGTGGCTGTTGGAGAGATTATAATCTCCAGAACTGGTGTTATCCCCTGAAGAGCATCATTCTGAGCAGGGAGCTACTGGCTCGCCCTGGCTGGACCCCAAGAACCTCTGGGGGAAAGGATGGTGGCAAAAAGGTCCCACCTCGTGTTTTGGGATCACTTTTGGCCTGAACCTGCCCCTTGGTTGTCAGAGAATTGTTGGATGAGCCTAACAACAGCTCTTCTCTCCCTCTCTTTGCCTCTCTCTCTTCCCCGCAGGCAACTTTGTAAAGAATTTACAGATCTCTTGGCCCAGGACAGAACGCCCATTGGGAACAGCCGACCCACCCCTATTTTGGAACCGGGCATTCAGAGCTGCTTGACTCACTTCAGCCTCATCACCCACGGCTTTGGGGCCCCCGCTATCTGCGCTGCCCTCACGGCCCTCCAAAACTACCTGACTGAAGCTCTCAAAGGCATGGACAAGATGTTCTTGAACAACAACACTGCTAACAGGCACACATCTGGCGAAGGACCAGGTAGTAAAACTGGAGACAAGGAAGAGAAACACAGAAAATGAGAGAGAGAGAGAGAGAGAAAGAGAGAGAGAGAGAGAGAGGAAAAAATTAGAATGAAAGGAAAAGAAAAAAAAAGTTAAATAAATAAAAGGAGAAGAGAGAGAGATAATCTTTTAAAACAAAACCGTCTTAATTTTAGCTTTAAAAGTACTGGATTGGGCTTTGGAAGAATTCTATTAGGTAGGACAAAATAATAACAATAATAAAATAAAAATAATAATAATAATAAAAGAAAGACAATAATTTAAGATCAGAGGAGCACAATGGCGCAAGACCAGTGGTTCAGAGTCTCTTGCCAGGAACATGTGAAGACAACCACCAGGATTTTTTTCCCCACTTCTGTTCTTTCACATTTTTTAAGTAATGATTGGGGGGGGAGGGGAATATAATAATTAATAATAATAATAAAAGAAAGAAATGAATAACTTATTGGAAGAAATCGGAGAAACATTTTTGGTGTCAGTGCTTTAATTTCTTGAGCTGCATGGTCTGTCTTGCTGTTATTTTTCTTTTTTTTTTTTCTTTTATTCTTTTTTGTTTTGAACAACGTTCTGTCTCCACCTAGACTAAAACAATCTTCCAGAGTGTTCCTTTCTGAGCAACCCCATGGCCTCATTCCCCTCAGCTTTTCCCACCTCATCTCACCACCCTGGTTCTGTCTAGACTAGGAAAGGAGGGGAGCTCCCAGACCCCTCACCAAGCCATCAACACCAGCTGCATTCACAGCAGCATGAACTTAACTTTAGGTGCCACCAGAAGGGACGTTCGGGGTTGCCGTGGCTCAGTTGAATCTGCCAGCTCTGTTTTTTAAGAACTGTTTTGTGTTTTTTTTCCTGGTCTAGACAGACTCTCTGTTTAGATTGGCAGCGTTTACAGGTGTGTCTGGGTGTGTGTGTGCCTCTGTGTGTGCATCTGTGTATGTGCACACCCCACTCCCTAGGGGGGCGCGGGTATCCCGTGTATGTTTGTGGATATATATGTATATATGTGGATATATACATATATATATATATATAGAAAATATGTGTGCCTAGCCACGCATATTAATGCATGCAAACATACCTTTGTAATTTAGTAATTTTGTCTTTGATGGTAAAATGCCTTGTCTATAATGGGTTGCAAAATTTTGGAAGTAAGGTCTGGTACAATGTCAGCGCTGATTTCTTAATTTTCTGAGATCTCCTCTTTTTCTCTAGGGAGTTTTATATTCCTAACTATGCCAATGTTTCAGTCCTTAATTTCCTTGACTAGTGTGTGTGAGAGAGCTCTGCCCCCATTTTTAAAGAACTGTTAACAACAACAAAAAATGAGTGATATGAGTATGTAATTCTTTCTCAGGAGTATGCACTATTTTATTTTCTTCTGTTTCCTAAAGCTTTGCCCGCTTGGCTTATGAGCTTCTTCAAAGAGGACTAGAGATCCCTACACAATATATCAGGTACAGAGAAAAAAAATCCACAATTCTGATATTCTGATACTTTTTATTTTTTGCTTTTTTTGCTTTTTCAAATCAAAGCCAGTTGTTACTGAATTCTGTAGGTGCACTTCTTTAAAGAAGCTCAAAGGGAATAATTTGAAAGATAAAATATAAGTTGAAATTGAGGTGTACTGTTGCAAAGAGAATAAGAGCTGTGTTGAATGTTATGGCACTTGCTTGGCACTAGGGTTTTGTACCCAGGGAAGAAAGAGTTGCCACGTGAGTTGGCTCCTCGTGATGGGAGTGGGGAGGGTTTGCCAGGGAATATCCTGATTTCTGAGCTCAGTCTGAGGAAATCTGTTTCTCTTAGAAAGCTTTTTTTTTTTTTTTTTTAAATGTCTTGTGACTCTTGCTTTGGAACAAGTCACTGTGGTGAGGGGGGCAAAAACTTAACTCCAGTGTTTTTCTTGGTGGTTTGGTGTCTGACAGGATGCCTTATGCATATGATTTGGGTGGTGGGGGTGAAGGGGAAGTCTTATCTCTTTCCTCTCTCTTTTTTTTTTTTTTTTCATTTTTCCACATACATTTCTCTGTCCTCTGTGGTAAAAATAACGCTGAAGTGTGAGGATATGAATTTCAGTTTGGATTCTGTCGTGTCGGGTAATTGCATGTGTTTCTCAGTGGGGTAGGGCTCGTGCACTAACACAACTTTTTACTTATGTCAGAACTGGGTGTGCGTAAATCTCCTGCAGTCTCTGGCAAAATTCCAGTGGGGTCAGGCCTCCCCCTAGGATCCCTGTGAAAGCTGCAGGACTCAGTCCCACCATCCCAAGCAGGCACACCTGAACTCAAAATGAGAGAGAGAGAGAGAGAGAGAGAGAGATAAACCTTAGCCTTCCTTTATTTTCAGATACCTTCCAAAGTGGATAGTGAGGGAGAAATAATTCTGCAAAGCTCTCAACATCCCTTGATGAAATGTTCTCAAAACAAAAGAGCAAACGATCCTCTTGTGCCCTTTAGTGGCTTTGGCTCTCTGAGGCATGGTCACAGCTGAGGGCCTGCTCTGCTTTTCGAATCTTCCTGCAGCCAAATCTTGAAGCAGTTCTCTGCTTGTGATTTGGGCACACATGGCAATAGAAATCCAGGGATCATCCAGCCCTTCCTGAGCTGCTCCTCGCTCATGTACCTTTGGTTCTTCTGGGACACTGGGGGCTCTCCTGTGAGAAAATGGGGGAACTGAGGCAGGCAGCTTTCTCCATGGATTGTTGGGACGAGTTGGAGGCAGTCTTAGCCCCTGGCATGTCCCTGCCATGGGTTTGGTAGTGGTAGGGATTGTCACATCCCTGTGGATGTCACCAGAGGAGGTGTGGTGGCCAAACCATGGGTCCCCCACCAGCAGGCTGGGAACCTTCAGATTGAAAAACAACATCCAGGCAACCTCCAGTCCTCCAAATCTTACCCCTTGCCAACCACCCCAAAGTTCATCAGGCTTCTGGGAGGGGCAATCCAGGCTCCAGTGTAGGGCATGGCCCAGCAGTGATGCAAGGGAAAGGGAAAGAGGGGATCTGGGGAGGAACAAGTGGCCCCACCTGGAAGCACAGTTCCCTTCTCTTCCTGATGGGAATATCCTGTTTATTAGAGCAGAGCACCAAGTGTTGGATGTTGCCTTGTCTTCCCCCTCCAAATAGGATTTGTGAGGAGCCTGTGGGTTCAGCCCTTCAGCATCACCCAGCCCAGTGAGGCTTTTGGGTGTGGGGAGACCCCAAGTTTGCTCTCAGTCTTCCACATCCCCAGCTGCATGTGCAGGGACATGGGAACCTGTCCCTGCTGCCCCTGAGCTTCCAGCTGGAGGCTTTGGGGCCATGTAGGGATTGGCCTTTCCTTGTCTTTGGGGAAATGTTGGGGATTCACCTTTTAACTGCAGAGGACAATGTCCCACCACCACTGTGGGTTAATGGGGAGAAGGAACCCTTGGAACTTCTTGGGGAAAGACTTACATGTGTGAGGGCGTGATCCTGCTGCTGCTGCTGAAATTTCCCTAGGCACAGGTTTGCTCACCTGGACCACGACCTAAACCTTGAGCAGGTTGAGGGAGGAGTTTCAGTCTGTCCCTTGTGCCTTCTACCTGGAGGAGACAAACTGCAGATGCCAGACTGTGCAGTGCTCAGGCAAAATAAGGCCAAATTCCCACTGATCGCAGTGGGATGCCCTCCCCCCATTTGTTCCCCAAAATGTGGAGACAAAATTCACGAGGTTTATGACTTAATGCAATCAGGCAGGAAACAGGAGAGGAGCACATCTCTCTGTCCTTCCCCCCAGCCTAGTGCTGGTCCCACAGGGAATTATCCCTTGCTTGGTGGCTCCTATCAGTGCTCAGCACAGAGATCCCCCCCCAAACTAAACTCAGCCTCCCTCTGGAAGGTATTTTCCTGCTCCCCTCCACTTTCCCAGCCCGACTACTTCTGTTGGCGGGGCACCTCAGACGTTTATCTGATAATTGAGTTATTAAAAGATTTGGTTTCCTCAGAATCATGAATCAATAAACAGGAGGATTAACAAGGCAGCTTTGCTTTGTAACTCAAGGGAAAAGTTTGAGGAGAGACCATGAAAAGTTTGTTTTCAAACCAAACAGGTGGGTTGCTGTAAATTTTATTTCATTCTTAGTCTACTTCTTTTTTTTTTTTTTTTTTTTTTTTTTTAATAACGATTCTTTATTTGCCGTTGGAAAGATCTTTAAAGATCTTTATTTTCGTATGTTCCCAGACTTTTTTTTTTTTTTTTCCTGGTTGTTATTCACACAAGATGTGATGGAAACAAGAAGCCAATTTCATGGGAATCCTTTTACAACCCGATGGTTTCTTTAAAATCGGGTTGTGTCTTGTCCCACCTAATAGAAATTCTCTGTGAGAAGCTGTTTAAAGTCCCTTGGCATCCCAGACCAATCTCTCCCCAAATCCCCAAATTTGCATTTGGGGCTGGGAGGGAGCGGGGGAAGGATGGTTTTAAGACCTTTAGCTGTGCCCAAAGGGCTTATTCCCTTCTCCTGCTCCTCTCTTTCTGACCGGTTTATCACACAGACCTGTCCGGCTCTGTTTTAATACATTTCTCGGAGAATTTGGTGCTTGTTTCATCTGCCGTAAGCATTTACCAGAACGACCCAGACAACCTCCCCCTCTCCTCCGGCTTCCCTGTGTGAGAGAGACCGTAGGCTTTTTACAAATAGTATATTTTCTTATACAAAGGGAAAAAAGTAAAAGAAAACATCCCCAAACACACTGGCAAATGCCTGAACATTTTGAGAGAGACGAAACACTGTGTGCCAGCAAGAAATAAAAGAAAAAAAAACCAAAAAAACCAAAAACAAAGACCCAAACAAATGCAAAGCTATGAAAAAGCAAATGAGAAACTGGAAAGATGAAAGAAAAAAATAATAAAAATTCTCCTTTTATGCCCCAAACGATCCCTTTCACCTCCTCTTCTTGAAAAATCTGACCATGCAGTGAAAAATATCAGTTTATCGACTCTTCCTGAGAAGAAATGCGGAGAGGCATTCAGTATTGAGTTTGTATATATTTATTTATGCTT